CCTCTGAAAAGTATAAGCATGCATATGTACTCAGTACTTGGTTTGGGCCCCTTTGCAGCAATTACTGCCTCAATGTGGCATGGCATGGAAGCTATCAGCCTGTGGCACTGCTGAGGTGTTATGAAAGACCAGGATGCTTCAATAAGCGACCTTCAGATCTTCTGCATTGTTCGGTCTCATGTCTCTCATCTTTCTCTTGGCAATGCCCCATAGATTCTCTATGGGGTTCAGGTCAGGCGAGTTTGCTGGCCAACCAAGTACAGTAATCCCACAGTCATTGAACCAGGGTTGGGTCCTTTTGGCAGTATGGGCAGGTGCCAAGTCCTGCTGGAAAATGAATCAGCATCCCATAAAGCTCGTCTGTGGAAGGAAGCATGAAGTGCTCCAAAATCTCCTGGTAGATGGCTACGTTGACCCTGGATTTAATGGAGCACAGTGGATCAACACCAGCAGATGACATGACTCCCCAAATCAACACAGACTGTGCAAACTCACACTGAACTTCAAGCATCTTGCAATGTGTGCCTCTTCATTCTTTCTCCAGACTCTGGGTCCTTGGTTTCCAAATGAGATGCAAAAGTTGCTCTCATCAGAAAAGAGGACTTTGGACCACTGAGCAACAGACCAGGTCTGTTTTTCTTTAGCCCAGGTAAGACGCTTCTGACATTGTTTGTTGTTTAGGAGCAGCTTGACAAGAGGAATATGACATTTGAAGCCCATGTCCATCTATGTGTGGTGGCTCTTGATGCACAGACTCCAGCCTCAGTTCACTCCTTGTAAAAGTCCCCAACACTTTTGAATGGCCTTTTCCTGACAATCCTCTCCAGGCTGCGGTCATCCCTGATGCTTGTGCACCTTTTTCTTCCACACTTTTCCCTTCCACATAACTTTCTATTAATGTGCTTTGATACAGCACTTTGGGAACATTCAGCTTCTTTTGCAATTACCTTTTGAGGCTTTCCCTCCTTATGGAGGATGTCAATGATGGTTTTCTGCACAACTGTCAGGTCTTTCCCATGATTGTGATTCCTACTGAACCAGACTGAGAGACCATTTAAAGGCTCAGGAACCCTTTGCAGGTGTTATGGCTTAATTAGCTGATTAGAGTGGGACACTTTGAGCCTAGAATATTGAACCTTTTCACAATATTCTAATTTTCTGAGATTGTGGATTTGGGGTTTTCATGAGCTGCAAGCCATAATCATCACCATTATGACAAATCACAGCTTGAACTATCTTGCTTTGCATGTAATGAGTCTATCTCATATATTAGTTTCACCTTTTAAGTTGCATTACTGAAATAAATGGACTTTTGCATGATATTCTCATTTTTCGAGTTTCATCTGTACTGTACTCATTTGCAACATTGTATTTTAATTAGGAAAACTCAAAATGCACAAGAAACCTCAGGGTTTAAATAGTTATGTGGAATTTTAGGGCATTTTTAAAAAAAGCTTAAATATCTTGATTTCTATTTTATTATTACCTTATGTCCATTAATATGTGTTTTATGCTGAATATATTTTAACTGCCTACTGGTCTAAGACCACAATAAAGTATTCATTCATTCTTCCTAGTAATGAATTAATAATATATACCATTATTATTTTGACTTGAAAACTATAAAAATCTGAGGTCCTAATAGGGAATATATATTAAGAACTGTTTGGGTTTAAACAAGCTATAATATGTTGCATTTGATTTTGGCAGAAAGTTTGTAAACAATGGTTTTTGGCCTATTGGGCACGTACATGCAACCAATAATGGGTTTTTTTTAATGTCCAAGCAAACAATGTCTTTGGACAATATATAAACCAGAACACTGATTTAAATATGGCAATGTTTTGATGACCCTAAGGAATCAGAGCTGCACTAAAAAGGTGCAGAGAAAGTGGAACGGGTTAGGATTTTTTAGGAGATTTCCCCCCCCTTTTTTTCCTTAAACTGTGTTATTCCTCTATTACAGGATTGTCAAACTCGATTTCATTGAGGGCGGCATCAGGGTTGAGTTTGACCTTGTGGGGTTGGGGTGGGCGTGACCAGGGTAGGTGTGACCAGCATGACTTCGGTTGTGTAGGGAGTGCCTGTTGTGGCATGAGTTCTCTGCCCGTGTCAGCTTCTGGCAACCCTCTGCCAGCAAAAACAGAGGTCGGGGGAACCACGCACAGCCCTATTTTTGGCTGGGACATCCTCTTGCTGCCCTCTGCCAGTGAAAACGGAGCTCGGAGGGGCCACATGTGGCCCTCCCAAGCTCCATTTTTGCTGGTAGAGGCACCATGGGCCAGTCCTTCTCTATTTCCAGGGTGACCCCATGGGCCAGATATAAGCACCATACAGACCAGATCCAGCCCCCAGGCCTTGAGTTTGACACCCCTGCTCTATTAAGAACTCACACATCAATTTTCTGTGCTTGTCTCACAATATAATAAAGTTACACTGGCACCAACATTTAATTAAAGAAAGGTTTAGGGAAGGCAGAAAAAAACCTGCCCATGAGGGCAGGGCACAGGTGCTTACACCTTTGACCATGCTGCTTCTTCAGCAGATCAAGCAAGCAGCATGGCACCAATCTTTGTATTACTAAACATTTCCATTGATAAGTACAGCCACATAGCTACTGCTATCATTAAAATGGGGGAGTGGAAAAAGTACACTAAAAGGAGTTTCATGCCAGATTTTGCCCAGATTTTTAAGTTGAGAAGAAGATCTGTAGACTCAATGCACATTATCATTATGATAAAAATAAGTCAGTTGGTATTCAAAGTTGCCAGTTTGTACTCCTCCTCTCCTATCCAATTACATTGTTAAACATTTAATAACAGGAACATCTATCACCTGTGCATATGTAGAAATAATAATGTAAGGCTTACGGTAGAATTAAATAGTATGTCAAAGAACAACACATATACATATATGTGGATATAGGACGTTTTGCAGTTAAGATTTTGCCACCATACAAATTTGTGGCACATTCACAATCAGTAACTTAATATCTGTACTTTACAGACACAGACATGCAGAACATTTTGTCACTATTTCAGCTGGCAATGAAGTTGGGACATTCACCAGTTTTAATTATGCCATCCTTCATAATGTCTTTACCAATAACATATCTCATTTATTTCCAGTAACAGGGAAACCACAATATTTACATACTTCCTAGTAGCTCCAGAATAACTGTACCACCTGCAAAGAGTTGTGGAGAAAACTAAATATAAAATTTCCATTAAATGAGACTTACACCAGATTAGACAAATATAAATCTGTGCTTCAAGAGTAACTTTGAAGTGCAAGGACATTCAAAATGCTAATCAAGAACAATCAGAAACAAGAAGCTATTAAGAATCATTTGTTAAAAGTCAGTATCCTCATTACATAGACTTTCAACTCCAAGTAGTTGTAAGCTACTACATATAACTACCTATAGTTGTATTGAACATGGAGGGGTTTACATCTAAGTAAACATGGACAGACACACACACACACAAATCTTTTGGACAAAATCATATGGGCAAACTTTAAAGGCAACATATCTTTCTGTCACCCTAACTTAAGCTATATATATAGAAGGACAATTTCTAGATTTGTCTCTGAAGAAAAGATCAAAATAGGAAAGCAACATACATAATTATTGATTGATTCTATGTTCATTTCAACTTTTTAAAAACACCTTTGCCATTAAAATATTCTGATGATCAAGGAAGCAAAATAATACATATGTAAGATAAAATAAACATGTATAAATTTATCATCATTTATAACAAAACTGAACTTAATGAAAAGTGTTAAGCATATATAAACTGAAAGATATGTACAAAGAGAAAAAGCCATTTCAATCAGTATTGATTTCCCATCAGTTCAGTCTTAAGTGGACACTTATCACCTCTCCTATGAAAGTTACATACATAATTCCATAATATAATTTCATAGCACAAAGATCCCTTTGTGATAGTTTCTTCAGACAATTCTGGAATACCGAACCAGGTGTGTTTTTACTGTCGGGAATGGAAAATTTAACTATTCCAAATGATGACAAGAATATTCACATATACTTCAAAAGCTGGTCTGAAAAGTAATTTGTCAAGCTTGTCTCCCTTTTCTGTAATGCATTTCATTCTTATTAAACGGTCCCACGCTATAGTTACTTATAAATTACACGAAATGCAGCTCCCGTTCTCTCACGACGCTAAAACGATCCTCAGATCTCCAGAAGAGCCCATCTAAACTACCAATTCAAACGTATGCCTTTCGTCTTCCTAGCTTGATTTACCATATAAGGATGAGGCAACACAAACAGCAGACTCAGGAGCACGCAGATGACACGCACGGAGAAACCCAAAGCCCTCGACAAAGGCGAAAAAAACCCTCAGTTTGAACTAAATAAAAGAGCCAGAGCACGGGGCTAACTTCTTGTAGCGACATGCCTCCAAGAAAGAAGCCTGGCTGACGAGGTAACAGGGACACGAGCGGGTAAGCGAAGCCCCGCCGGGGTTACTCCGTCCTGGATTTCCTGCTCTCCTTTGGTCTCCTGAAAGACAGGCGAGGAGTCCAAATCTGGCCAAGTTTGGCGGGCAAACGCAGTTTGGAGAAGTACGGCCGCTGTCAAGAGCCTAAACCTCAGTGCCCTCGATCGAACCGGCGTTTTCCGACCGCATCTTTCGCTGAGGGAGACCTGCCAGCCCGCCAGCATCCGCGCATCCCCTTGGCTCCCGCGCGCACTTCGCCTGCCCAGCCAGGAGGTCGGCAGCAACCCAAGACACAAAGGAGAAGGCGAGATACCTTCCCCGGAGCAAGCCCAGCAGCGCCTGGTCCCTTTAACAACCCCAGACCTTAACTTGGGCCTCCCCCTCACTTTGCCCGACACTTAGTTGCTAGCTGTCTAGGTCGTCGTCCTGAAGCGGCAAACTCTCCTGTCTCTGCCTTGGCGGGGAGCGACGCCCGCATCCCGCCGCCAGGCACAGGCTGGAGAAGGAAAAGCCCGCCAGGCTGTCCGCACTCACCTTCCCTCCGAAAGCCCCTCCATCTCACCCGCCCCGGGGCGGAGGGCTACCTCTCGCAGAGCAGCTGAAGACCCTCGCAGCCGCCTCTTCCTCCTCCCTTCAGTCTGTCTCCTGCGCGCGGAGGCTGCGTCTGCTGCTCCCAGCTCCTCCAGCCTCTCCTTTCCCTCCTCGGCTGCTGCCCGGCTGCAGCTAGTCTGGCTCTTCGTGACAGCAGGCAGCAGACCCGGAGCCGCGGGAAGAAAGGAGAGGGGCCGCGGGAGAGAGGGAGGGAGGGGGAGAAGGGAGGACGAGCTTCCTGCCCAGCCCCTCGCTCGCCTATTCGCAGCCTCTACTGACACCTGCAGGGTCGGATGTGCAAAGGAGCCGGACCGGCCTCTGCCCGCCAACTGGTCCAGTGGCGAGGGAAGAAAAGTTATTCTCCCGCGGGGGCTCGCCTGGGTCTTTTTGGTCATATTCCGCCGCAACCCCTTTCGGCAAAGAGCAACCAACGCGGTGCTCTGCCACCCTGGTGCAAACTCTTCCGCACGCTTCTCGAGGCTGCAGATCTGTTATATTCGGGGAGCTTTGTCTCTCCACCACCACCCATTCCGCGCCCCCCCCCCCCACGGGAAAAAAAATCCCGTCAAAAGGGAAGGCCGCGACTTGGCCGTAGTTCATTAACCCTCTTTAAGTTCGCCTCGGCCTCGGCCGATTTAGAAGCGAAGACGCGGACGGGGATCTAGGTTCAAAGTCGATTTGCTTCCCTTCGGCTGGAGGCTGAGAATTTCTTGGGGAAAGTCTGGGAAATGCATTGGGGGGGAGGGGGGGAGAGAAATCTGTTGAAGGAACCAGCTTCCAAATTTCGCCGTGAGAGGCGGTTCTAAGCGTCTTCACCGAAAGCAGGGAGATGCCCCGCTTCAGTTTCGACCTTCCTGCTTAGCGCGCGAACATCCGTGGAGCACTTTGGGGAGGCGGTCGTGCACGCAACTCGTCCTCGGCGCTTCCAGCCTACCTCGCTGTACTTTTTAAAAAAGGACCCTATGGAGAATATCGTCCGATTGCTCATATAGCAAATCGCCAAACAAGGCACTCCTTAGGACTTTGCCCATCCCGCAAGAAAAAAAAAAGTTTTTTGTAGCTCCAAAAGAAGCCATTTAAATGCACATTTCTAGAGTTGGGGATGATCTTCGCTGACAATAACTTTCTACAATTGCATGTTTCAAAGTTGAAGCCTCCAGGTGTGTTTTGATTTCCACACAATCCCCAGTCAGCACAACCATAAACAGTATATGTTCAACTCAGCAAACTAGTTTCACCTTCATTGCAGTGAAATAAAACAACCTAGTTTAGAAAATAAACTATATTTAGAATGCTCTTCTTTATTGGCCTTTGTTACCTATTAAATAAAACTAATCTTATTTCCACTGATTCTCTTTTCTATGGGACTCAATTGCAAAAATCTATTACATGTGCCCTAGACCAGAATTTTGCGTCTCTTCACATAGATAAAAGACAAACTATATATAAACACACTACCAAAAAATGAAGGACAACATAATTTCCAACCCAAAGCCAGTCCATCTTGCATCCTAATTTAAGGCTAGGGGAAATTTTGGCTATGCTGCTCAAACATTGTAGGAATTGCAGCAGCAAACACATTGGTGATAGCAACCTGGTTTAAAATGAAGTATTCTTTGAGATGAGATGCATGGACAAGAGAGCAATAATACTGTAGAGCAGGGGTGTCAAACTCACACCATCACGGCAGCATCACATGATGTATTGGGACTTTTTCCCCTTGGCTAAAGCGGGTGTGGTCTGCATGTGACACATCCCGCCCGTTGGCCCTGAGTTAGAGCCCTGCTATAGAGAAACATCTATCCATCTATCGAAATCAGCTTCTAGTAGATTACACTAAAGAAATGTACAGACTTCAAAGACTAACTTGGTAGACTAAGTTCTTAATAAGCTTTATTTAGGCTGGATTGCTGACCTGTGATAAAAAAATTAAATTTTTCTAAGAAAGCTTTTCTTCAGGATAGAAAAAAGTCTTAACAGTTACTTCTACTTGTCATTGTTCTTATTAATGCTAGAAAGGTTACTGATTACCAACACATTGTAACAACAACAAAAATCCCACAAATCTTCCTAATATATTAAATGCAGACTAAGAATTGTTATTACTGTTTCCAGCTTTGAAAGGTACAAACAGAGCTAGGAGCATACAGGGATTATTTGATCTAGTTGCAAGTCCAGTCAGAATGGCCTGAACTGGTGCCATTGCAGTGATGCTCAGATCCTGAGGAAGAATTGGAAAAATTTCTGTTATATTCTACCCCAATATAATATGGAGAAATTAGTTGCAAAGTGTGTATTTTGCTGGTACTGTACTATGATGATATTAGACATTATAGTGCCCCAGAATTCCATAATCAGAACTGGAGCTTTATTGATGCTCAGGATTGGTCAGAAAGATTCAAATCAAACACCTTGCCACTATCTTTTATTACCTTGCCTCAGCTCAGAATTTGGGGGTTTGGCTGCATCCAATGAGCTCTTATAAAAATGTTCATTACCAGGAATAAATGAGTATCTTGTAGATAGTTATTGATACAATCCTTCATGTATACTACATGATTTAAAAAAAATATTTATTGAATACATAATTTATTCTTTCCAGAATGATTATTTAAACAATGGTTACATGTATAGCAATTCTAAATGAAGGACACAAATTTACAAGATGGTATAAAAATTTGAAATGTTAAGAACATACTATGGCTAAGTACTCGATTAAAATGATATACGTGGCGAAGTATAATACATATTTCCAACCCATCCCCCAGACTTATAAGATGCTCCTCACTAATAGTAAGATTCTCACCATGTCAGATGACATAGGGAGACTGATGGGTCCCAAGTGCTTACTGCTTTTAGTTTAATAAAAGCAGTTATATTCTCATCTTCATGTGGCAATTAATTGGAAGATTCAGTCATTTTTCAGTCTAGCAGAGTGTAAAGTTCTGTGAACAAGTGAGCACAATCAAGGTGATGTTAAATGTTGATACTTTAATATTAATACAATAAAAACACCAAAGCAATGTTAATCAAAGTAGTAAGATAATAATTACAAAAAGATAGTTTAATAGTATACTTTAAAAAATTAAACGTGCTATCCTTATTAGAAAACTGGAAAACAGAAGTAGCAACAACATTTCTATTACTGTCTGAATTTCTAATTAGATTGCAGGCAGTAACAGCTAGTTCTCAAGTAAGTTCCATTTTTTCAAATTATGGGATTCTTTCACCAAAGCACTAATAAATATTCACCAGCTATACTTTGACAGGCCATTATACATACTAAGGAGTACAGATAATTTATCTACATGTGATTCAAGTGATTAAAATGTCAGATTTTGTGTTGAGTATTGTGTGACTGTTAGGAGCAGGGCTTGTGCCCAACATGAGTTAATTTGCTAAGATGGCATGATAAGCTGCCTGAGGCATGTTGGAAGTTGAGAGTAAACAAAATGGGTTTTAATACACTTGTAAGAGGGCACTTCAGTTTAAGTCTCTCTCTTTCTCTCCCACCCAACTCTCCCCCCTTTGTCTTTTAACTATTAGGTGGATAAATGGAACTCTTGTAGTCTTTTGTCTGTGTAAACCATATCAGAGTACAAAAGCTTGGAAAACCCAAAGGAATTTTGAAGCCTATTCACACTATTGCATTGAAAGTGTGGGTGGTACTGAAGTTCAAATGGCACTTGTCACCAGGAGCTAAAAAAAGTAATAAAAATTAAAAAAAAACAATTTAAAATAACAACAGAGGCATTTTTTAAAAGGCAGCTTTTGCACTGAAAATATATGAAATTGAAACCTGGCAAATGCCATTTGTGGAAACGTTTGGCTCAGAATGGAGTTAATTTGGACAAAATATAGCAAATATAGTATTATATATGAGAAATGCCTGTCGTCTGTCTATCTGCTGAACTTCCATATTTTGCAAAGCTTTCAAAAAGTAGGTATAATCTACTGAGAAAATAATTTAAGATTAATTAACATTAAATTGCAGCAAAGGACTATATCAGTGTTTTTCAAACTTGACAACTTTTAAGATATGTACACTTACCCTGTTTCTCCAACAATATGGCCTCCCCCAATAGGAAGTCCCAGCATGTTTTTATAGGCATGAAATGAATTTAAGCCGCTCCCCCCATATTAAGGCCTATATTAAAACATGCGAAATGGGGGGGAATGGTGGTGGGGCTTGCCGTTAGGAAGTACTTTTGTTGCACACCCGGATATGGTGCTGCCTGCGTTGACCCCGATACAAAGTGCCCCACCAACACGGAGGTCAACATCCAAGCTGTCGCTGCCCGCCCGAAGATGCAAGGGGGGGGGAATTAAGTCACCCCCTAAAAGATGGCCTAGCCATTTTTTCGGGGCTCAAAAAAAAAAAAGACCCGCCCTTATTATATGAGAAACATG